CGTGCCCGTCCATGTCTAGCGGTGACAAAATATCAAGGGGATCATGGGTCCCGTCGAGTTTGAAATATCTTGCTCCGATCAGCTTGCTTCAACATCAAAACCATCAAAGTTTTGATTATTTAGTTACTAATCCTTTAAAATTTTCACTTACATATTCACATTCCTAACCTTTGAATTTGAATAGTAATTCTATGTTGTTCTTACTTAACATTATTAATTAACAAATAAATGATAAACCTAATTAATTCTGAGTTAAATCAACCAACATTTGACAAATAGGATATGTCATGAATCTTTAGGTCTCATTTATAAATTTTCACGTGTATCTTCATTTTGTTATCTACTCTTAAAAATATTTTTTTAATTTAACTAAAGATCCAAATGTTTGGATAGAATAGATAAAAGAAAAGGGAAAAAAAAGAAAAAAAAAGTTTATTATATGATAAAGAACAGATAGAGATGGCATAAAATCAAAATTAAAAGATGCAGGTAATTAAAAATTTTAAAATTAATGAATTGTAATTAATAGAAACTATCAATATCTCAAAATCAATTCATTTTTAAACTGGATGCTAATTTGAGTTTTTGGCTGATAAAATAACCCTGAAAAATTAGAGCCTAATTAAGTTTGTGATTAAACTTTTTTATTTTTATTTTTTATAATTAAAGAATTGAAAAATGATAATTGAACAAAATTGTTACTTGTTACAGCCAGAGAAATTGGCGTAGTGGTGACAAGGGCCGCCTTTCCATTTTTTGGGTGGAGGACCAAACCCATCGTCTTTGAAGCTCTCCGCTGTTGGAGTGATCCCTGTTAATAATAATTAACTAATTAATAATTAATATGGCTCACAACTATACTATAATTTTCATATTCTTTTTTTTTTTCAAATCATACCGAGTTATATAGTAATATTCACGACCAACCTAAACATAACTCAACGGATTAAGACACTTATTATCGACTAAAAGATTGTGTTCATCCCTACATGTTGATAATATATATATATATTCATGTTAAATTAGTAGCAACTATTTAATTTAGACATCGTTTGGTAACTATTTTGTTTTTAGTTTTTTGTTTTTGAAAATTCTGCTTGGTTGGTCACAACTTTTTTCGTAATTCTAGCCAAATTTTAAAAGTTAAAAACTACTTTTTTAGAACCACCTTTTTTCGAAATTTTGGGTTAGATTTTGAAAATAGAGAAGACAAATATGAAATAGATAAATACACGAAGTAAAAATAGAATTTAAAGGTTTAGTTTTTAAAGAGAGAAAATCAAAATAAAAGAATTATGAAAGGGAGCTTTTTAACTTTTCATTTATGTAATCATATTCACAATTTATTACTTGATACCACTGTTTTAGTAGTTACTCAAGCAATCATGATATCTTGTATTTTATTATTTTTTTTTTGCACTAACAAATGCATAGATAATTTAATTTTACATAATTTGTCCAATTAAAATTTTACTATTTTTGTACAACTTTTATTAATCACATGGATAAAAATTAAAAATGAAAAATAAAAACCAGTTTTATCTTTACACTTAATTCAATAGTCATTTTTAATCTTACTTGAAATATCAAATTAAACCCTAAATTTGAATCAACGGTGAAATTCATACTTTTAAACCACCACCACTAAAGAACTAACCAATAAATTACACCAAATCCAACGAAGAAAACACTCAAAATCAATTCATAAAAATGCCTAAACACAATGGTAGAAAATCTCTTGTATTGTTGGGATAATGAAGCCAAAAACAGATGATCCGTGTCCTACAAGGAAAAGGATTTTCAAACACTACTGTCAATTCCTACAAGGAGTAGAATATTATTGTCTTATAAGGATTACAATATTCTTTTCGTATAAGGATTGAGATATTTGACCTCTTATAAATAGAACCATTTTGTTAAGGTTTCATTTGTACAAAATCCAAATAAGAGAGACTTGAGTGGTTGTGGGCAGTATGTGAAAAAACGGGTTTGTATCCCGTGGGTTTTAGTGAGGGTATTTTCAATTGTGTAATCCTAGGTAGCCATTGTTAGAGTACTTAGAAGCAAGATAGTAATATCTTGGGTGAGATCTCCCTTCTAATATTCCCAACTATAGTTGAACTTGTTTTTTTGCAGGAGACTAGACGTAGTCCTAAGATAGGGGCGAACCAGTATAATCCCTCTGGTGTTAAGCTTTTTTTATCCATATCTCTTATTCATTTGTTATTGTTATTACTTATCTGCTTTTAGCCTGTGGGAGGAAAAAATCAAATAGTTCCTGTTTGAAAAACTTACATGAGGATCAATTTATCTATTTTTTTCCCAACAATTGGTATCAGAGCGTTTGGTTCAAAGGGTCATGGGATTAGCAGAGAAGTCAAGTTTTGAAGGAATCATGAAGTTCGATGGGGCCAATTTTGAATATTGGAAGATGCACATTAAGGATTACTTGACTTGCAAGAAGTTGAATAAAGCTTTAAAGGAACGACCAACGGGGATGAAAGATGAAGATTGGGTAGAGACGAATGAACAGGCAATTGCCTTTATCAGATTGTGTTTGTCGATGAATGTGGCAGGTCTCGTAGCAAACGAAACGACAGCAATAAATCTGATGAAAGCACTGGACAATAGGTACGAGAAACCCTCAGCTAATAATAAGGTATATCTCATAAGGAGATTCTTTAACATTCAAATGGAAGAGAATACTTCTGTCAATTCTCACATAAATGAGGTCACAAAATTAATTAATCAATTGACATCATTTAAGATTACTTTTAGTGACTAAGTGAATGTTATTTAGTTTCTAACATCTTTACCTCAAAGTTGGGAAACGATGACAACAGTGTCCAATTCGTTAGGAGACAAATCTTTGAAATTTTCAGAAATTTGTGATGTGGTAATTGTTGAAGAAATTCGCAGAAAGGGGAGTGGAAAAGAATCTACTTTCGTACAAGGCTCAACATTGGCTGTCGAAAAAGGTAAAGAGAAGGTTGCGTCTGATGATATGCAGCAGAAGCATAGTAGGCAGGATTGGAAGAGAGATGCTGAATGTTTTCATTGCCACAGAAAAGGTCACATCAAGAAAAACTGTAGAATATTAAAAGAGGATCTGAAGAGGTATATGACACAGTCAAATGTAGTTGTAAACGATGCACTCGTCTGTGTTGAAAGCAACATGGAAACAGGAAACCAGTCATCGGAGTGGGTAATAGACAGTGCGGCTTTAGTACACATATCTTCAAATAGAAGATTATCACATCTTTCAGAAGAGGCAATCGCGGCCACGTAAGGATGGAGAATGGAAGACTTTCCAAGACTAAAGGGATTGGAAATATACGATTGAAGACCAATAGTGGGACTGAGTTATTACTGCGAGATGTTAGGTATGTACCCAGTATCAGAATGAACTTTATCTCTACAGGTAAGTTGGACGATGATGGTTATCAGAGTGAGTTTGGTGGGAACCAGTGAAAGCTCACCAAAGGATCCAAGTTGGTGGCAGTTGGCCATAGAAGATCTACAGTTTACACGTCGCAGTTGAGTGTTGCTAGAGGATCATTGAAACAATTGATGCAAGTTGCAGATGGTGTCTAAAGAGATAAGAYTGAGCCAGCAACAAAGACAACTAAAACAGATCAGGAGGATCTGCCATCAATTCAGGAACAACAATTGGGAAGTCAAAGAACAAGAACATGTTCTTTAGGTTGTCAGGRATTATCCCCAGTTGTTAGACGGATGGGTGAATTGATGAAGTCGCGTGAGCGAACAGTTGCATAAGAGAAGATGAACCCAGTAGGTGCTGAGGTAAATAATGGAGTTTCAATTATGGCAGTAGGCTTGAATAGAGTTTTCAAGTCATCAGTGGGAAGTTCTTTCTTCAAGAATCAGTGTTTGAGAACGAAGAAGGAAGCTTCAGATATCACCACTTAGTTTGAGTGGGAGCACGTGCTTGTGTCTCTTGCGTTTGGGAGACAAGACCACGTAAATTGCCCGACCTTAGGGCAAAGACAGATGAGACCAGTGATTTCTGATATTTTGTTTTACAAGTTTTTAAACTTGCAGGAGAAGCCTTGAAGATTTTTTCAAGAATATCAGAAGTTGTTGCAGAAGAAGCCTTGGAGTTTTCCAAGATTATCAGAGACTGCTGTTGTAGTGGGAGGCAAGATCGATGTTTTGTCTCCAAGTAGAAGATTGTTGGGATAATGGAGCCAAAACAGATGACCCGTGTCCTACGAGGAAAATGATTTTCAAACACTATTGTCAATTCTGTTACAAGGAGTAGGATATTATTGTCTTATAATGATTACAATATTATTTTCCTATAAGGATTGAGATATTTGACCTCTTATAAATAGAACCTTTTTTTAAGGTTTCATTTGTACAAAATCCAAATAAGAGAGGCTTGAGTAGTTGTGAGCAGTGTGTGAAAAAAGGAGTTTGTATCCTGTGGGTTTTAGTGAGGGATATATATATACGAACCACTATGTATATATATCAAGCAGGCAATTTTTTTTTTTTGATAAAATATCTAAAAATACATTTCATACGGCTAGAACAAAAGTATGGACACGATCAGCAGCGGATCCAAGATTTAAAGTTAGGGGGCACAAATGTAAATAAATATAATGGAAATTTATTAAACTTTAACTTAACAATGTGTATCAGTTTGCACCCTACATTTAGATAAATGTGATAATTTTCACCGCAACTTTTACCATTGGATAGATTTTCATTTGAAAAATTATTGAAAATAATATTCTCATGTAGCAAATGAGTTAAAAAAAATTATGAAAAAAATTGATAGGACACAGACAAAGATATCTAAAGAATTATTATTATTATTATTTTTTAACTTATTTGTAAGTTAGTCATCTATTTTGGAATCAATCCCAAGACGTGGGGATGGGACACACGTAGGAAGAGGAGAAAAACACCCGGCAAACTTGGTTTTTCAATAAATAATGTACACTATATTATATATATCTCAAATCGAGGGGAGGTCCCAACGTGCATCTGTCCCCGGACACGATATTAACTCGTCAAAATTCGTCAAAAATATTAGAAATTTAATTAGTGGGTATTAATTTCACAACTTATTCGAGTTTAAAGTTCAGTTGGATGAAACTAAAATTTTCTAAGAAAAGAAAAAACAGAGAGAGAGATTTTTACCAGTATCAAACAAACCCACAATAATATTACTCTCCTGTTGAGGATGTCTTCTTACATTGGGAGGAAATCCAATGAAGTCCCATGATCTTGTTGTTTGTATCTTTCTATATTGGTTTGGGATCACAGAATGCACTTCATCCCTCTCTTCAATCACAGCCATAGTAAAGAAAAAAAGATGAAATATGGGGTAAAGATGTAAATAAAGAATAATACAGGCACCAAAGAGAAAACTTTTAAAATAACAGGGGGTAAAAAGCAAATTAAGAAAAAAGAAAGAAGGATGCATAAGGATAATTAGAAATTACTTGATAGTGTTTGCGCTTCCTCTTTGGTAAGCTTGGCAGCAAAGGCATTGAAGCTTTTCGTGTAACTGTAAACCATGGACTCCTTTGCATCAACGTGACTTTGAACATACAAAAATACTCGTTAGAGTAGTCGGTTTATAATATGGATGTCGCTCTCGTTAGTATTTTAGAATTGGAAAATATTGTAGAACGAATATTTTTCACGTCATCTTAGCATTCAAATCGCTCCTAGATATTTAAGGACTCGTTTGGTAATGGTCTCGTTTCTCGTTTCCTGTTTCTTGTTTCTATTTTTTTTAGAATCAGAAAGAAACAAGAATATGTTTGATATCATTTATATTTTTTTTTCTTGAAATTAAAAAAATAGAAATATATATATATTTTTTTTTACAACAATTTGTAGGGGTGAGATTCGAACCTACTACAACTTATTGACCGATAATTTATACCTTACTCAGGTTAGCTATTTTTTATTTTTAGTTAAATAAAATTTAATAAATATAATATAAAAATATATAACATAGACTTGAAGAATAATATTTATTAAAGAAAATATAATTTAGAATATGTATCAATTATTAACTTAAATAAAGTATAAAATTTCAAAATATTTTTAGTTTTAAAAATAGAAACTTTTATTTAATAAAAAGAAAAAATGATCAAAATATTTTAAGTTAAAAAATATAAAACATAAAAAAAAATTATAATTTATTAAAGATAATATAATTTACAATATAACCATAAATTATAAGTTTAAATAAAGAATAAAGTTTTAAAATATTTTTAAATTAAAAAAATTGTTTAACAAAATATAATAGTTTTAAATAAAAATAAACTTTCAAGTAAAATTTTAAATATTTTTAATTTAAAAAAATAGGATTTTTTTAATAAAAATATAATAGTTTTAAATCAAAATAAAATTTCAAAAATTTTAGATTACAAAAATATTAAATATAAAAAAAAAGAAACAAAAAATAACCATTTGCATATCTTGGGAGTTAGATCTCAGAGTTTCATGTATAACAGTGATCATATACACCAACAAGCAATTGGATGTTCTTTTTTTTCTTTCTTTTTGTAGAACAAATATTTTTTAGGTCATAGATTTGGTAATTGTTTCTATTTCTTCTTTCTTGAAAAAAATAAATAGAAATAAAATATGTTGATAACTATTTCTTGTTTCTTATTTCTATTTTTTTTTAACAACAATTTGTAGGGGTAGGGGTGATAGATTCGAACCTACTACAATCTATTGACCAAGAATTTATACTTAATTTTTATTTTTAGTTAAATAAAATTTATTAAATATAATATAAAAATATATAACATAGACTTGAAGAATAATATTTATTAAAGAAAATATAATTTAGAATATGTATCCATTAGTAGCTTAAATAAAGAATAAAATTTCAAAATATTTTTAGTTTTAAAAATAGAAAATTAAGAATAAATTATCAAAATATTTTAAGTTAAAAAATATAAAACATTAAAAAAAAAGAAAAAACAAATTTATAATTTATTAAAGGTAATATAATTTACGATATAACCTTGTTTTGATATAAAAGTATAAATTATAAGTTTAAATGAATAAAATTTTGAAATATTTTTAATTTATAAAATAAAAAATTTGTTTAAAAAAATATATTAGTTTTAAATAAAAATAAACTTCCTGAGTAAAATTTTAAAATATTTTTAATTTAAAAAATATGAATTTTTTTTAATAAAAACATAATAGTTTTAAATCAAAATAAAATTTCAAAAATTTTAGATTACAAAAATATTAAATATAAAAAGAGAAACAAAAAATAGCAATTGGTATATCTGATCATATACACCATCAAGCCATTTTTGGTTTTTTCTTATTAGAGATAAATATGTTATTAGGCTGAAATAGTACCTAGACACAAAATAAATAAACAAAAACAATAAAAACGAAATTACTTTTCGTAGTTTCCAAAAATTGGTCCCTTTTTTGGAAACGTTTCTCAAAATTTAGAAACGAGAAACAGGATTTGTTATCAAAGATGTCCGTTTCTCAAAAAACGAGAAACAGGAAACGAGAATGTTACCAAACGAATCATAATTTTTCTTGTTTGTGACGTCAAAATAATAATAATAACCAAACACGAATCATATTTCTCCATGTAATTGATTCAATAAAAAGTGGACACGTTTGAGTTGTCAAGATGTATATTGAATAACATATATTATAAAATTAGTGAATATATTGCCCCACTTGTAGAGATTACTCAATTTATGGAGTCAAGATTCAATCAAAATTCATCTTTTAAGATTGACGTTTTAATTAGAAACATATTGATTTATCGAATCAAGCTTGATGGAACACTTCAATCCAATGAAAATGTCAAATCTCAATCTTAATCGCAATATATTTACGATAAATCAAAGAATAGAGAGGATAATATTTATTCTCCAATCCCAACTAAATAACACTTGGAATCTCTTCTAATTTTTAACTTCTAACACAAATAATAATATAAACATATAACTAACCTTTCTTTTACTGACATGAGAACATTGAGATGTGTCGCTGCTGCATTGATTTCATCTAAAACGGGTTTATTATTCTTCAAGAAAACAATGAAATGCTTCTGAAAAAATAGAAGGAAAAAACACATGGAAAATGAGAGAAATCAAGCTTTAACAGTACTAAAATGGCGTGTAAATTTATCAATTAATAACCTTTTCCTCGTCGTTTTCTACGGCAACAACATATCCTACAACGGAGAGAAGAACAAAAACGAGAACGATGAGAGAAAAGGTCTTGTCTTTCGACATGATCACCAACAAATATAGGATCTCTTACTTCAAACTGAAAGGATGAATGTTTTCATGGCTTCCTATTTATAGAACGAATATGAAACTAAGAGGAAGGTTTTAAGTTTGGAAAAAAGAGAAGGAAGAAATTTTGCAAAATATAGTGGTAGGCCATTGGATCGTGACAAGAGCAAAAGATCACTTAAAGTTGACTGCCTCAGTGCCTTTAGGATCTCAAAAGAGATTGGTATTTTTTCTGTTCTTTTTCTTTCCAAGTTGGGAAATCTTTGAAGAAAAGATAACTAAAGAACCTTCTTTAAATTACCTTCCAAGGAGCGCCCATTTCTAAGGGCATGGAGACTTATAGTATTGTCTTGTCAAAGAATAAACATATATACCACATCGAAAAAATAAGAGATATAAATATTTAGAATATACATGGACTGCTCTCTCGCATTGTCAATTGATTTTGAGATGGAATCCATAGATATTGACATGGTATTAGAGATCAACAAACTCAAACGAGCAACCAATCTAAAAAAAATAGGATCCGACTATGATGGTGAGGAGATTAAACTCATAGATATTTGACATACCTACCATGAGGTCTTGTGTTAAACCTTCGAGTGAGCTGAATACAAAAAATTATTGATGTCTCTTGAGTTCAAGCTTTGAGCGAGCCACGAGTGTTTAAAATGTAAATAACTTGAATTATGGGTCAAAGAAATCATGCTTCAAATTGACTCATTATTAGCCAACCACCTAAAATTTGTCTCCTTTGGTTGCTTTTCTTTGTGGCCATTAAATATGGAGGAAATCTTTTTTCTCAAAAATAATCATGGGTTTGTTTCAACTATAATTCCTACTTGGACTAACGTAGATATATACAATATGTATGATATCTTAATTATAATTTCTACTTAGACTAATTTCTAATTGGGTTTTGTTATAATGCCCTTTTTGTCACTTGCCATTTTTGTCTTATACAATATACATGAATTTATGATTACACCATTTTTTAGAGTAAATTACAAATTTAGTAAATGAAATTTTGAAAATTGTGTCTATTTCTTAAAATAATAATAATAATAATAATAATAATAATAATAATATATTATTATTATTATTATGACTATTTAATCATTAAACTTTAAATAATTAAAAGTATGTTCCTAATTTTTTAATTACTTTCATTTAGTTCTTACCATTAATAAAAGTTTAATATAACAATCACATTACATTAATTTTGATTGAGTTACACTAGATAGACCGATCAATATGTCATGTTGATGTTCTATATTATTATAAAGGTTTAACATTATTAGAATTAATTAAATAGAAATATAATTTAAAATCCAAAAAGTAAATAGTAAATGTTAAAATTTTATGGACTAAATTTATAACCTAGTCATTTTTTAATACAAAAGTTGCTGTCATGCTCTATACACTCATTCAAATTGAGAAGAAATTAAAAAGAAAGAAAAAAACAGATACATGATCGAATAATATTACACGAGCTTAAATATTATTTTCATCTTTCAACTTTTAATTTTTATTCATTTTGGACTTTATATTTTTAAAACGTCTATTTTGATTTATATACTTTCACATGTTATCTAATTTAGTCCATATAATTTCAAAGCATTCATTTTTGTCTTTTACCTTAACAAAGTTATCATTTTTGGTCATTTCATTTTCTCTTTTACTCATTTTTTCGATGACAAGTTTTCAATGTGACCCTATACTCAATAAATTTCTGGAAAAATAGTCATAATTTTGTATTAAATGACTTATGTTGCATATACATGAATTTATGTTAAAATTTTGAAAATACAAATCCAAATAATAACGTTTTAAAAGTATAATGATCGAAACAAATATTTTAAAAAGTAACACGACTAAAGTAATAAATATTACATGCGCGCGCGTGTATATATATATATATATATATATGCAACATTTGAACCATGGATAGAAAAAATATCATTTTCAAAGTTGTCTTGTATTCTAATTCAAGTGACGTGAATCTTTGAATATGTATGCTTGTGGAATCGACTATGAGCCTCCGGTTTCTTAAATGTGTTTTGTTTCCTTAAAATGACAACTTTGCCTGTAAATGTTAACTTCCACCATGGTTGATAGCAGCTTAGAGATAAATAAAGAACTGTAAAAACTTTGACCTCAAGTCAACTCAAACAGAATATTAAAACAAGTGTAAAAACTTTCACCTCAAATCTCTCTCAAGTCAGCTAAGAGAGAATTAAAGAGTGAAATTAATGTCAAAGTGAGCATAATTCAACGATAATTGACATATATTTTCAACCAAAAGATCGTGAGTTCGATTCCCCATTCCTACACGTTGTACTAAAAAAAAGTGTGAAATTAAATTTCACCTCAAATCTCTATTATCTCAATTAACTAAGTTTGTTTTTATAAACTTTTATTTGCTATTTGTTTTTCAACTTTTGGAACTCGTAGGTGCCTCATTCTCTCGAGACTAATTGCGTTGATGCAGAAATTTTAAACGAGGAGTGTTACATCAGTTAGTGAGTTAATGTAGACTACTTACCGGCAAGACGAGGAAAAATATGTTCAGTTAAAATTTAAATTTATAAACCTGTGCATAGTTTAACTAACTAAGGTATTTATCTCCGACCAAAAGCTCGTGAGTTTGAATCTTAAATTCCAAAAATGAAAGAAAACCACATCAAATTGAAAACAAAGATATAAAAACATTCTCAAGTCATTTCAACAATGTGGCTGTAGTTTAGTGGTGAGAATTCCACGTTGTGACTGTGGAGACCTGGGCTCGAATCCCAGCAACTATAGTCCAATGTGCCAAAAGAATGAGTTTCTTTTAGCTTCAAAAGAATGAACAAGATGTCTTTAATCACTGAACTATGCTCATACAACATCAAATGCTTTTTAGATTCGAGACTACATTTAAACAAAGAAACTTATTTTATCTCAATTATTAAAAGTAAAATTTAAAAAATATAACATCTATACTACATATCCAAAAAAAGAAAAAATAAATAACCAAATCAAGTAATTTTTTTTTTTGAGTACAACCGAATCAAGTAATTAAGATAGAATGTTCACCATTGTAACTATATCCAAATTTACTTTTAAAATGTTTAAATTGAATACGTCAGACACTGTCTTTGCATGAAAATATATGACTATTTGTATGACCATAGATAATCTATAAATATGTGGTTCAATTTTTTTTTTGAGATATTGAAAATTTTTTCTCGAAATTCTCCTTCTCTTTTCTCTGGCACAGATTTGTGATTCGTCTTATTCAAGGAGACAATTGTTCGTTAAATCTTGAGTACTACGGAGGGAACAAAACTGTCAAGGAAACAACACTATTATTGGATTTAGATTGTCTACTTTCGTGTTTACTTAATTTTTATGCATATTTCTCTAACAGTATTAACATCATGTATTGAAAACATTAGTTAGTTGATGTGAGTATAGGTAAGTTCATATTTGCTAGAAAAATAATAGCAATGACTAAATTTGTTATTTTTTTTAATTTAAGAACTAAAATAGATACTTTTAAACCGACTAAAATATGATTTAAACATTTTTATTTTCATTTATGCCATTACTCTTTGGACATTTGTTAGTCACCAATCATTGCTGGCTGTTTACACATAAATCTGTCAATTGATTTGTCACAATTTTTTTATTTATTGAAAAAATTAAATTATAAATAAAAGATATAATATGATATACTATGTCTTAACCAAATAAACTATACACCAATAGAGTGAGGAGGTTGTAAATTCAATCAAAGAAGCAAATGGATATTCAACATTTTTTTCGATGACACCAACAAAGTCTTGCTTCAAACATAATTAAAGTAGGTAAACATTATAGTAATAATTTTGATAACTCATATTTTGAAGTGCTATTTATAATCAATAACACCACAATAAAGCCAAAATAAATGTGTGGGTGTATATATAGATATATATGAGGATCTAGAAATGCACGAAAGCCAAATCAAACTCTAGATCATTGATTTTGTTGGGAAAGATACGTTGTGCACAACAATATCAATATTCCTAGTCCTCAAATATGAGCTACTCAAAGAGAGTCTAATTAGAATCTCTTTTCTCCTCCCACAGTTATGATAAGCAAATCACAGTTTAATCAACACGCAATAAAAAAAAACATGAGAAATCCGAAAACTGATACAGGGATTTATATTAGTTCATCCAAGCTTGGGATACGTCCAGTCTTCCACGATGTGCAACTTCTACTATGATTGTGAACTTACAATGTCCATACAATATCTCCCAACTCTCTCTCTAGATGACTCAACAAAGGTCATCTAACTTCTAAGCATTATAACAATATGTATTTAGGAAATAGAAATGAAAAATCTCACTAATAGACTTGAGAATAGATAGTAACAATTGCTGGCCGTTTACATAGAAATGAGTTTTTTATTTAAAAATATTAAATTACAAATAAAAGATAATATGGATAAATAATGATATATTAACCAAGGTTTTAAATGTCGATGTCGATGGAAATTTTGAGGTCTCAATTTCATGGAAAGATCGATGAAAATATCGATAAAATGTTGATGTCGATGATATTTCTGTAAAAGTTAAAAAGATTTAAAAAAATCGTAAAAGATTTAAATTACAAATAAATGTTTTTGAATTTCTAAACAAGTTAAAATTATTAATATTATGTATTAGTAACATTTTGTTGATATTTTTCATATTTCTTCTTTTTTTTTGGTAATATGATGAAAATGTCGATTTACTCTTCATGTCCATGTCGAACCCATAGATACATGAAAAGGTCGATAGACATGTCGACGTATCGATAAACATTTAATACCATAATCTTAACCCAAATAAACTATACTATCAACCGAGCTAGGAGTTTGTAAATTGAACCAAATAAGCAAATGGTTATTCAACATTTTTTTTCACACCAACAAGTCTTGGTTCAAATATGATTAAAGTATCTAAACATTATGGAAGTTGTAATAGTTTCTCCATTGATTTTATAATTGATTTGAAATATAATGATTGTATTTTG